TATAGTATATTATATTATATTACGAGGGACGTCCAGAAAGTAAGTACCGTTTCAAAATAATTATAAAAGAAATAATTTTTCTAATCAAAACGATTAATTTTTTAATACACCTCATATATATGACTACTTCTCCACTCATCGTAGAAAGCTGCCGCCTGCTATGTCAGTCAATATCCAGTCTCCCCTGTGAGATCAGCGTCTCAGTTGAAGTCCTGCCCCGCCAAAAACTTTTTCAAATGTAGGAACAGATGAAAGTCACTCGGAGCAGGTCACGCAATCTGGCGACAAATTCCTTGTAAAGCAAAAAAAAACAACAACAACAAAAAACAAAAAAAAACAACGTAAATCATGAACACTGATGCATGTGTCAAATCTATCATACTCTACACGATCATACGACGACAAGATAATGCTTTACTGGCCAAGTGGGAAATTATAATTGGTTTTACAGTAATGGTAAAAACCTATTATTATGCACATTAGTCTAGATATATACCTAACATTTATATTGTAGAACATTTTCATGGTATGATTGAGAGCAAATAGAAACTGACAATAATAAGCCTTTTTGCCACAAAAGATGCATTTCTCATCAGACATGCATGGGTTTATCTCACATTCTTTTGAGATGGAAAAATAAAAGTATTTTGTTTTCTGCCTGGTTGTAGTTTGAAGAAAGTGGTTTTTTTATCCCACGGATATGTAGTGACGCAGCACATTCGGTGACCTCTCTGCGGTGACACAGAGACGGAAATTCTCATTACCAGTTTCACTCTGTGCTGTGCTATAAATATTAAGCTTGTTACCCGTGTATTCTGTATAAAGGTATAAATGGAACGAATTTAAGCCGTTTTCAATGCTGTGAGTTTGTTTATTTGTTTTGACAGCCGAATTTAAAGTCCATCTCCCATAGTCGTGTAGGGGCGAGGCATGATAGCATGAAAAATATCCACTGAACATTTGAATCGGGGTCATCAGGTTTACAGCCTATTTATAGTGCTTGTTTTGGTTTACATCACAACTAAGGATGACATAATACGGTATGCAAAGACACAGATCATCTTTCTAAGTTATTGCTAGCCCATGAAGACGTGGATTCTTCAGTGTTAGGTAAGCATGCATCATGTGCTGTGTACTCTAACAGCCTTGAGGATAACATCATCATTTTAACCAATACGACATAATAGCATCACTTCTATGATAAAAATCATAATGATAATAAAACACTAGATAAAATGTTAACAATAATATTACCAATAATTGTAATAATGATAAAGATTATAACAATAATGATACTACTACTACAGCAACTACTACTATTACGACTAAGTAACTACTACTACTACTACTACTACTACTACTACTACTACTACTACTACTACTAC